TGGATAGATGCACACAACCATAAGAGTATTAGTACTATAGACAAGGCTCTCACATTAGGGTTCGTTGCGCCGAGTATTACCATAGATATATACAAAACACAATGTGTTTGTATATATCTATGGAATTACCATACGTGGGCATTGCAATGCATAGGCCGCGACCTTACTGAGTATAGAAAGGGCAAGTTAGAGGTTGTATATGTATTTGTATGATCGGAAGCGTTTGTACATACCGTGCATGTAATGCGGAACCAAAACGGTGGGATGCAGACGTATATATATTTATATATTATTTATATTATATTAATATTTATATTAATTAATATTATATTAATATTAATATTTATATTAATTATTAATATATATTAATATATTAATTATATATTATATAATATTATATATTATCTAATTGTGATAAGAGCTGTGTTTTATATAGAATCATTGATGTCATATATGTATATATTTCCGGCGTGCGTGCGTGCGTGCGTATCAACATTATGTCGGAATACATAAAATCCAGAGTAAAATAACAATAGATTATATTATATAGATGTAGATATTATTCACGCCTGATAAAATCAAACGAATATATTCGTCAAGGCCGTCTTGAAGCAAATTCCCAGAGCGCGCGCAAAATTTGTAAGAATAAATCATATGTATGTTAAGAAAAACGCTAATGTGATAATGCGTTTTCATAATTGTTTTTTTAATTGTAACTTTGTGCCTATTAATAATTACATATATTCGATCTTGGGGTGCTTATTTTTATTATTGCCCAAAAAATCTAGGGAGGGGCTGCCCCACCCAGATGGACCTCGAGATAAACGCAACTGGACCCCTAGAAACTACAGAGCAAAACCGTGGCTGTCAAAAAATCAGATGGCGAGAAGACCATATGACAAATTTGAACCAAGGTGGCAGAGAAGAGAGCACCGGATTGGAGCATATGGCAGCAGCTGGGAAAGGTCTACGTCCAACGAAGGACAAGGGACGATGATTCGACCCAAGGCTGAAGAAGAAGAGAAGCAGAAGAAGAAGAGACAAAGAAGAAGAAGAAGAAGAAGAAAGAAGAAGAACGAAAAGAAGAGAAGAAGAAGAAGAAGAAGAAGATCAAACAACAACAAGAAAAAAATAGAGTGGATCACTGCACTCTTTACTGTATCGCAGTTGTTTCCCGTGAAGCCAGGTTTACAGTCACAAAAAGAATCCACCGCACACCTGTCGGACGCACTGTCGATCTCCGCGCATGGGCTGCTGTCACACTCGTTGATATCTGCGCGAGAAATAAAGTGTCGAAAATAGAAAACAATGATCTTTTCATCGATAATATAAAATTGCTACTAACTGATTTACTGCTACTATACATTACATTTTACATTTTATTTACTGGCTACGTTACATATAACCATGTCATTTTTCCATCTCAGTGCTGTGATATTTCACGTTAGAAAAACTACGCATTGTCATGAACTGACGAACGGGAGAAGAAAAACCAGAATCGAAAGATGGAGAGACGCTCGTTCATCTTCAGATTGCTATTACAGTAAATTAAGTCCTCTAATATATTAAGCAGATGGCCAATATGTGTGACAACCGTGCCTCTGCGACCTGAAAATCTATGCCGGCATTGAAGCATAGGCCTATATATGCACAACCTACATTTTACTGATAAATGTTTAAATATCTGAAGTACATTAATTAATGAGCTATCGAAAATTAATACACAAACAACTGGCGTGAAGTAGAAAATAGTGTAGTGCAATGTCGTGTATCAACATTCGTTTTAGAGTGCCTACAATATAAAGGCTGCCTATAAAAACGAGGCGTGCATGGAAAACGTGGTTTTTTGATAATATAATGTCATAGAAATTGTTTGCTCACTTTTTTCGTAATTATAATCAGTTCAAGCGAAAACCATCAGCCGTTTTTTAAGATTATTGCACTTACTACGGCGTATTTACTTAAGGTGTGGTATTGTGCCAGTGCCGAAAACGCAGACCATAGTGAGCAGAACGTCAAGATTATAATACGGGCCGAACAGTTTCTTAAATAACTATGTAATATTCTGAGAATGGTGGCCATCAAAAATTCACGGCAGGTAAACGGAAATACAAACCTAGTTGGCTCATCAGCTATAATTTAAAATTGTAGAGGCATTAGTATATATATATATATTTGTAATACTTACAATTTTTATATATTTTATCAGAGTAATAATACCTATTAGTAAAGGTATCTAATCTACTTCACCGACGCCGCACGGCATTGGATGACTCAAGAAGAAAGAAGAGAAACCTATAATATATAAATATAATATAATATAGATTATAATATGTATATTACACACACGAGCACGCACACACATGGGCATACGCACACGAGCACGCACACACACGCGCGCGCACACGCACACACACGCGCGCGCACACGCACACGAGCACGCACACACGCGCGCACGCACACACGCGCGCGCGCGCACACACGCACCCGAGCACGCGCACACACGCGCACGCACACACACGTGCACACGCACACGCACACGCACGCACACACGCGTGCATACGCATACGTGTGAAGCTATATATGGACATTTCGCTGTACAGGTGCAAACGACTGTTTATCGTCGCCCTGTCAGCACGGATTCTGCATAGACGGCAGAAATGCGTACACGTGCGTCTGCGATTCTGGATATCAGGGCCGGAATTGTGAGAATAGTAAGTATATACAGTTAATACCTATCTGATTATACTCGGTGGGATACGGACAGGATGTGTTAACACTATTGCTACGTTTGCTACGACAGTCAGGTTAACTGCTAGTGGTAATTTTGATCGTTATTAAACCTTTCACCCACTATTTATAAAGGCTTCGCATTCCAGCAAGCGTATTTCATGAACTTGTGAAGAACTTATAAAGAACAAACACCTATAACCTGTCTATATGCTTGTACTCGACAAATTGTGCAGCGAATTAATCGCGCTACTGCGTTTGAACAAAAATGTTCAATCGGCATTTTTCGCCCCATTTTATTACCGCATCTTATTACAATAAAAATCTACTCAGATATCGACGAGTGTCAGATACGTCCTTGCCTGAACGGTGGCGCATGCGTGGACCAGGTGGCTAATTACACCTGCGAGTGTCTCAGCGGCTGGACCGGTCGCAACTGTGAAACGACGACCGCCTGTCACCCATCGAATGAATTCGAATGTGAGATGGGGTCACCGCGGTGCATCCCGCTCAGCCAGCTAGAGGACGGGAAGGGTGATTGTGCCGACAGCTCCGATGAAGGTGAGATGGCGACGACGACGACGACGACGACGACGACGGCAGCGACGACTAGCGGCAGCCGCTATGAAGTATAAGTAGTAATGATGGCAGCTGGCGCGGCACACAACTGGCGTTCTGTTCGTTGGCCTTCACGATGAATCTTTCGTGAATAATATATAATACATTACTATATATATTTAACTAATATATTATATTATATTATAGGTATTCTTCTTCTTCTTCTTGAGTCATCCAATGCCGTGCGGCGTCGGTGAAGTAGATTAGATACCTTTACTAATAGGTATTATTAACTCTTGATAAAATATAATAAAAATTGTAAGGTATTACAAATATATATATATATACTAATGCCTTACAATTTAAATTAATAGCTGATGAGCAACTAGGTTTGTATTTTCCGTTTACCTGCCGTGAAATTTTGATGGCACCATTCTCAGAATATTAATAGTTATTTAAGAAACTGTTCGGCCGTATTATAATCTTGACGTCTGCTCACTATGGTCTGGTTTTCGGCACTGGCAAATACCACACCTTAAGTAAATACGCGTAGTAAGTGCAATAATCTTAAAAAACGGCTGATGGTTTTCGCTTGAACTGATTATAATTACGAAAAAAGTGAGCAAACAATTTCTATGACATTATATTATCAAAAAACCACGTTTTCCATGCACGCCTGTTTTTATAGCAGCCTTTAATATTGATAGGCACTCTAAAACGAATGTTGATACACGACATTGCACTACACTATTTTCTACTTCACGCCAGTTGTTTTGTATTAATTTTCGAATAGCTCATTAATTAATTACTTCAGATATTTAAACATTTATCAGTAAAATGTAGGTTGTGCCATATATAGGCCTATGCTTCAATGCCGGCATAGATTTTCAGGTCAGAGGCACGGTTGTCACACATATTGGCCATCTGCTTAATATATTAAGATGACTATTTACTGTAATAGCAATCTGAAGATGACGAGGTCTCTCCATCTTTCGATTCTTGGTTTTTCTTCCTCCCGTTCGTCAGTTCATGACAATGCGTAGTTTTCTACGTGAAATATCACAGCACTGAGTGGAAAAATGACATGGTTAATGTAACGTAGCAGTAAATAAAATGTAAAATGTAATGTATAGTAGCAGTAAATAGTTAGTAGCAATTTTATATTATCGATGAAAAGATCATTGTTTTCTATTTTCGACACTTTATTTTCTCGCGCAGATATCAACGAGTGTGACAGCAGCCCATGCCCGAGAGATCGACAGTGCGTCGACAGGGTGGGTGGATTCTTTTGTGACTGTAAACCTGGCTTCACGGGAAACAACTGCGATACAGGTAAAGAGTGCAGTAATCCACTCTATTTTCTTCTTCTTGTTGTTTGATCTTCTTCTTCTTCTTCTTTTTCTTTTTCTTCTTCTTCTTCTTCTTCTTCTTCTTCTTTTTCTTCTTCTTCTTCTTTTTCTTCTTCTTCTTCTTCTTCTTCTTCTTCTTCTTCTTCTTCTTCTTCTTCTTCTTCTTTTTCTTCTTCTTCAGCCTTGGGTCGAATCATCGTCCCTTGTCCTTCGTTGGACGTAGACCTTTCCCAGCTGCTGTCATATGCTCCGATCCGGTGCTCTTCTCTGCCACCTTGGTTCAAATTTGTCATGGTCTTCTCGCCATCTGATTTTTTGACAGCCACGGTTTTGCTTGTAGTTTCTAGGGGTCCAGTTGGTTAATCTCGAGGTCCATCTGGGTGGGGCAGCCCCTCCCTAGATTTTTTGGGCAAAATAAAAAATAAGCAACCCCAAGATCGAATATATGTAATTATTAATGGCACAAAGTTACAATTAACAAAAACAATTATGAAAACGCAATTATCACATTAGCGTTTTTCTTACATACATATGATTTATTTCTTACAAATTTTGCCCGCTCTGGGAATTTGCTCAGACTACGGCCTTGACGAATATATTCGTTTGATTTTATCAGGCGTGAATAATATCTACATCTATATAAATATAATCTATCGTTATTTACTCATGATTTTATATATTCCGACATAATGTTGATACGCACGCACGCACGCACGCCGAAATATATACATATATGACATCAATGATTCTATATAAAACAAGCTCTTATCACAATTAGATAATATATAATATTATATAAATAATAATTAATATTAATATAAATATTAATATAAATAATATATTAATATTAATATAAATATTAATATAAATATAAATAATATATAAATATATATACGTCTGCATCCCACCGTTTTGGTTCCGCATTACATGCACGCGTATGTACAAACGCTTCCGATCATACAAATACATATACAACCTCTAACTTGCCCTTTCTATACTCAGTAGGTCGGGCCTATGGCATTGCAATGCCCCACGTATGTAATTCCATAGATATATACAAACACATTGTGTTTGTATATATCTATGGTAATACTCGCGCAACGAACCCTAATGTGAGAGCCTTGTCTATAGTACTAATACTCTATGGTTGTGTGCAATCTATCCAGAGATCGACGAGTGTGCGTCGGAGCCGTGTAGAAACGGGGGTCGCTGCACGAACAAGGTGAATAGCTACGCTTGTACGTGTCGGGCCGGCTACACAGGCGTCAACTGTCAGATCGCGGGTACGTCAACATTTCTTCGTCGAAAGTGTCGTTCACACGCGCTCATGCACACGTATACGTCCACGCACGCACACGCGCACAGGCACACACACACACAATCGAATGTTTGTTCACCAGAATACCGCAAGTTACCATTGCAACGATGTTAGAGGTTCAATTTTATAGCGGCTATAACTTAAGCATATTCAACTGTCGGAATTAAGAGGGCATTAATTTGCTACGCAGCAGACGTTTATAGTCGGGGTATATATCGGGATACGTTGGTCGCATCGGCATGCCCGCATGGGTGGTCTATAGGCAGCGGCAGTTAATGTTAAGCGGCTATAGTAATAGAGCT